GATATACAATGGAAAAAAGACAACCTCTTTAACAAGTGGTGCTGGGAAAACTGGTCAACCACCTGTAAAAGAATGAAACTAGAACACTTTCTAACACCATACACAAAAATAAATACCTTTTTATTATTTGATAAAGTCTCTCAGAATAGTGGGCCTAATGGGAACTTACCTCAGCAAAATAAAAGAAATATATGTCAAACTCACAGCAAATATCATTCTTAATAGTGAAAAACTGAAAACATATCCTCAATTATCAGGAAGAAGGCAAGGATGTGCACTCTTACCCTTATTAGTTGACAGAGTTTTGGAAGTCCCAGCTACAGCAGTCAGTGAAGAAAAAGAAATCCAGTTTGTAAAAGACAGAGTGAAACTCTCACTGTTTGCATATGACATGGTATAAACATACTCATTCCTAAAGCTGCTACCAGAAAACAACTAGAACTCATCAGTGAATTTGGAAATACTGGAGGATACAAAATTAATACACAGAAATCTGTCATTCCTATACGTTAGCAATTGAAGATCAGAAAAAAAATCATGGAATCTATCCCATTTAACATTGCATAAAAATAGATAGGAAGAAACCTATATAAGGAGCCAGAAGACCTGTACTCAGAAAACTGTAAGATACTGATGAAAAGAATCAAAGACAACACAAACAGATGCAGAGATATACCATGAACTTTTTTTCTTTTTTTTTTTGACCATGAACATTTTTGGAAGAGTCAGGATTGTCGAATGATTATGCCACCCAAAGCAATCTATAGATTCAGTGTAATCCCTATCAAATTACCAATCACAGTTTTCACAGATTTAGAAACAAAAATTGTACAACTTGTATGGAAACAAAAAAGGCCATAAATATCCAAAGCAACCTTGAGAAAGAAAAATGGAGTTGTACACATCTGGCTCCTTGACTTCAAACTTTACAACAAAGCTACAGTAATTAAAATATTGTAGCACTGACCCAAAGACAGACACACAGCACAATGAAACAGTTTAGAAAATCCAGTGATAAACCCATGCATCAATGATCACCTAATCTATGGCAAAGAAAGCAAGAATGTACAATGGAATAAAAGCCACTCTCTTCAATAAGTGGTGCTGGGAAAACTGGACAGCATAAGAAGAATAAAATTCAAGTACTTGCTAACATCAAACACAAAAATAAACTCAAAATGGATTAAGAAGTAAAGGTTAAGTCCAAGGTGTTAGGGCCAAAAGTGTTTGTCTTTCAGTCGTGCCCAAGTCTTTGTGACCTGTGGACTGCAACACACCAGGTTCCTTTTTCTTGGCATTTCCCAGGCAAGAATACTGGAGTGGGTTGCCATTTCCTTCTCCAGGGGATCTTCCTGACCCAGAGATCGAACCTGGGTTTTCTGCACTACCGACATTTGAAGCTACCAGGGAAGCCCAGGTACTATAAATGTAAATCTGGCTACTATAAAACTCTTGGAGGAAAGCAGCACAACACTCTCTGACACAATAGCAGCAAGATCTTCTTAGATTCACTTGGTGAGTAATGAAAGTAAAACAAAAATAAACAGATGGGACCTAATTAAACGTAAAAGTTCTTGCATAGCAAGAGAAACAATGCAGAAAGAGAACACACAGAAAGGGAGAAGATGTTTGCAAATGAAGCAACCAGCAAAGGATTAATCTCCAAAACTGAACCACTCAATCATAAAATGGGCAGATTTCAAAAGGCATTTCTTCAAAGATGACATATAGATGGCCAAAAAGCACATGAAAAGATGCTCAGCATCACTAATTACTGAAGAAATGCAAATCAAAACTACATTGAGGTATCACCTCACATCATCAGAATACCATCTTAAAAATATCTACAGGTAATAAATGCTAGAGAAGTGTGAAGAAAAGGGAACCCTCCTACACTGTTGGTGTGAATGTAAATAGGTTCAATCACTATGGAGCACAGTATGGCGGTTCCTTAAAAAGCTCAAAATAGAGGTACTATATGATCCATCAATCCCCCTGGACATATACTGGAAAAAAACTATTACATAACTCTCCACAATGTTCATTGTAGCACTGTTTACAAAAGCCAAGACCGAGAAGCAACATAAGTGTTCATCAACAGAGGAGTAGATAAAGAAGAAGTGGTACAAATATACAATGGAATGCTCGGTTCAGTTCAGTTCAGTCTCTCAGTCGTGTCCAACTCCTTGCGACCCCATGAATCGCCACACGCCAGGCCTCCCTGTCCATCACAAACTCCCGGAGTTTACTCAAACTCACGTCCATTGAGTCAGTGATGCCATCCAGCCATCTCACACTCTATCATCCCCTTCTCCTTCTGCCCCCAATCCCTCCCAGCATCAGGGTCTTTTCCAATGAGTCAACTCTTCGCATGAGGTGGCCAGAGTATTGGAGTTTCAGCTTNTCCTTCTGCCCCCAATCCCTCCCAGCATCAGGGTCTTTTCCAATGAGTCAACTCTTCGCATGAGGTGGCCAGAGTATTGGAGTTTCAGCTTCAGCATCAGTTC